CTGGCCAGCTCATGCTTATAAATGTCATCTGTAACTTGAGAAAAGAGTGCTCTGAACAATGATGAATCTGAGAATACCAAAGCTAAAACACATTTTCTAAGGCTTAACCTCCTCCAGGACCTCTTATTTTCTAGATGGAAAAACAAGAACGTGGACTTTTAGGAGTAGATCTTAGGTATCCAGCCCCTGCTGTCGAGTACACTCAGATGCTATATTCATGGCTCTCTGCCTGGGTTTCAGAGGTATAATGTATCTTTTTTTTTTTTCAGTTATGATTTGAGTGCAGGTTTACAAAGCAGATTGCTTTTGTCAGTCAGTCATTCATGTGCATTTTGCTCCATAACATCAATTACAATCCAACCAATGTCTGATCGTCCATTCATTCCATATTATCTTTCACTTCCCCCATTTTAATGAGTGTTTATTATTTATCTGTGCATTTTCTACTCCCCCTTCCTCTCCCTGGTAACCATGCTAGAATGGTTCTAGCCTGTAAACCTTTCTTTAGCTTTTTTAGAGCAGTGATCTTGTACAGTCTTAGTCCTTTTGTAACAGACCATAATGTCCTCTTAAACACATCCATGTGATGTAGTGTATCTCTCTCAGACAGAGCACCAGGAGATTCAAACTGTAAACCTTTCACCCAATGCGTAACCAAGGTTTCCTAAACCCTACATAATACTCTGCAAAGATATGACTTATGGGCTCATATTTTTTATAGGAGTGTATTTTAAATTTCAAATGATATATATTCTCTCCCTTACTGCCTCCTCCTCTCTCCCGCCCCTTTCTCTTTCATCATATCCTCAACACTGTGAGCCTATAAAGAAGCCTGAGGATAAGGCAATTGAGATGCAAACAAGATTATTCTCCTAGTTTACTTTCCTGCCCTTTCTTTCAGCTTTTCCCTCTGAGGACCTGAAGTAAAGCAGTGCAAGGAGAGAAGAGACTGCTGTTGTTGTGTGCCATCAAGTCTGAACCAACTCATAGCAGACCCTGCAGTGGGTTTTCAGAGGTAGTAAATGGTACTGGAGGAGACTGCCCTTCTTTCTCCCATGAAGCAGCTGGTAGATGTGAACCATGTGTCTTTGGGTCAGCAGTACAACTGCTTATCTCTAAGCCACCAGAGCTCTCTATGAAAAAGAAAAGAGAATATTTAAAACTTGAAAACTAAGAAAAGGGATAGAATGTATAAAACTTGGTGCCTTGATTACTTAATGCTGCTGTATTAAAATCCTTTGAGTGAGTGGCTTTGAAGAGCAGAAATGTATTGTCTCGTGGTTTGGGGGGCTAGAAATCTGAATTCAAGATACTGGCTCTGTAGGAGGGTCCATCCTTCTCAGAAACCCTCAGTGTTCCTTGGCATCCCTTGGCCTAAAGTTACATCCATTTTCACCATCTGTCTTCCCCATTTGTGTCAGTGTATCTGTTCTGCTCTTTTTATAGCACACAAACAACTCAGAGGTGATTAAGTTTAGGACCCAATGTAACGGAGCGAGTCCCCAAAAAGATCACCGAGCCAATTAGCCGAATTAACAAAGTTTATTTCCAGTTCAAACCCGGGCTCCCGCGTGCTGACACAGCAGCATCCAGCCGAGAGCCCTGAATTGATGTCTGCCCCTCCTTTTATACCTCTGCTATTCCCCTGTCCAACCATACACGCCATGGTTGGCCAGCCACAATAGTTTGGGTATTTGTCCACCTCCAATTGGCTAGCCATAGCTCAGGGAAACTGTTTGGAACCCTATTTGAATCTTATCAGTTACTTCAGATACAGGAATGAGGAAAAATCCTTTGTGCCCTTAAAAAGAAAAAGAATTCCACTTTATGACAGTTGATCAATCAGGGTGGGAATTACTGCAGGTGGGGATTGTTGTTTGTTAAACACTCAAGTGGAGTGGGGTTAACTTTACTTTGTCAGAAACTGAGTTTCTGATAACTGGTTCTTTCACCCACCCTACTCTAGTCTGACCTCACTGACATAAAAAGAGACCCCCTATTTCCAAACAGGGTCATATTTAAAGGTACAAGGGTTAGGACTTCAACATGTATTTGGGGCACAACGAATTCAATAGATGGTGGGGGAAGGGTGTTGGTCAAGGGATTTTCAGAATGGTGGCTTAGTGGTAAGGAATTGCACTGCAGGCTCAAAGGCACACAGTTTAAATCCACCAGCTCCTCCATGGGAGAGAAAGATGAACAGCCTACTCTAATGAGATATACAGCCTCTGAAAACCCACTGGAGGGTCAGCTCTGCGTCATTTCCAACTGGATGATACACAATAACACCCTGGAAAGGTACAATTAACCATGAAAACAAAAATGGAGAAAGAGAAATAAATTCAGTCAGCAGATGCTTACTGGCTACCTTTCACTGTCATGATTACAGTCAGTTTTGAAGGACACTTAGGGGATAGAGACTCTGTATTTGCAAACTATTTGGGAAGATAGGGTGTATGTGACCTCAAGGCAGATATGCTAAGTACCTTAGGAAAGGTTTGGTTCAAGGTCCGTAGCTGTCTAAAGGTGAGAAGTAATTGCCTCTGGGTTCAGGGACCATTGTACAGGAGAGGAACCTCTGGAATGGGTGGTAGTTTGAATATGCAGATGTTTATACGGAGCCAAGGAGAGTTCACATAAAAAAAAAATTTCTTCATGTGCTTGTTGGCCATCTGAATGTCTTCCTTGTGAAGTGTCTGTTTACATCCTGTGCCCATTTTTCAATTGGATTATTCAACTTTATCTTGTTGTGATGCTCAAGTATTTTATAAATTCTAGATATAAGTCCCTTATCTGACATGTCATTACCAAACACTTTTTCCCAGTCTGTGACTTCCCTTTTTACCCTGTTAGAAAAGTTTCTGGATGCCCATAGGGATTTGATTCTTAGAAGGTCCCATTCATCTATTTTATCTTCTCCTGGTTGTAAATTTTTCAGAATACTGGGAAG